CCGGTTTCTGGCGCCAGTGTCACCGCGAAACCTGCCCCTGCTGGCTTTCGGCCCGATGTCACCACAAAACTGGCTTAAGAAAAAGGGGGAGACTAAAATATTTGTAATACAGCATCACCATCTATTGGATACTGCATAGAATACAGTCAGAACCGGGGAGCTATTTGCTATGTTTTAGCCATCTGGAAAAATATAAAACCATTGCTTGTAAAGTTTGCAGGTGACACACAGATTGGTAGATTGGTAAATAATTATAAAAATACGTTAATTTACAGAGTGGTCTAGATAGCTTGGTAAGCTGAGTTCATTCAAGCAACATGTTTTGTTTTGTTTTTTAATGTGGCCAAATGCAAGGTCATACATCTAGGAACAAAGGTTATAACTTTCAAAAGTGGCCCAAGTGACATAAGACTCATTGACTTGATGTGTTTTTGAAGAATTTACCCAAAGAGTGTAGTGTCAAAAAGGCATCCTGGTGGCTACGGTCCATTAAAAGTCCAGTTGGCGGTGCAGCGAGGGCCAAGGCAGGCTTCTTGCCTGCCCTGGCTTCGTGCAGCTTCCGAAAGTGGTCACCAGGTCCCTGCGGTTGGCCCCTAGCTGTCCAGGGAGGCTCTGCATGCTGCCTGCGCCCCAAATGCCAGCTAAGCTGGGAACCATTATCAATGGGAGCTGCGGGGGCAGCGCCTACAGGCGCGAGGGCAGTGCACGTCTAGGGGCCGTAGGGACCTGGTGGCCACTTCCTGGGAGTGGTAAATGCTGCTGGGACCCCACACCTTGAACCCCCCCACACACCCCAACCCCCTACACCCCAGCCCTGAACCCCCTCCTGCACCCCATACCCCTCATCCCCAGCTCCACCTCAGAGCCCACACCCCCAGCCGGAGCCCTCACCCCCCACATCCCAACCTCCTGCTCCAGCCCAGAGCCCCCTCCTGCACCCCAAACCCCTCATTCCCAGAGCCCCCACTCCCTTCCACATGCCAAACCCCTTGGCCCCAGCCCCGGAGTCCCCGCCTGCACCCAAAATCCTTCCTGGAGCCTGCATAATCTGTATGTCTAGGGGCCTCTGCTGGTATAGTGTTAGAGGCATAGCTGTATTGACAAAGTCTTTTACTGTAGACTATCCCTAAGTATGAGACAACAGATGGATACAGGCAGATGGAGAAGTACAAAGAAATGATGAGGCAAATTTTCTAAATAGACAAGGAAGATACAGGGTAGGGGAAGGCATGCAAGCAGCGTGAATAATCCGATAGCAATGAATGTGATGTCAATGCCATGATTTTGGAGGGCATGGGTTTAGTTAGGTGGGAATCAGCTAAATAGAAATAGAATCATAGAATATCAGGGTTGGAAGGGACCTCAAGAGGTCATCTAGTCCAACCCCCTGCTCAAAACAGGACCAATTCCCAACTAAATCATCCCAGCCAGGGCTTTGTCAAGCCGGGCCTTAAAAATCTCCAAGGAAGGAGACTCCACCACCTCCCTAGGTAACTCATTCCAGTGTTTCACCACCCTCCTAGTGAAATAGTGTTTCCTAATATCCAACCTGGACCTCCCCCACCGCAACTTGAAATAAAAGGGAAGGGGAAGAGGAGAGGCTAGGAGGGGTTGGTGTGTAGTGAAGCTGAGCTGAAGAGACTTGGAGGGAGGGGAAGCTGTTTGAGCAAACATCTAATCAGCACAGGGCAGAGAAAGAATATTTTACAATTTTGACTGTAATGTCCAAAGGTGAAAAAGGTCCCTGCTTTAGCTAGTTTGGTTTCTACTGGCTGGAATCTCTGACTGCCTACTTTCTGCAGTTCTTCCTCAAGGCCATCTGGCAGGACAGGGAAGAGAGACACTGTCCAATCTATTAAAAACTCAGGAGGGTATTAAACAGCATTTACAAAGGATATTTTAAAATGAGCAGGCCCTGATAACTTGCCCACAAGAATCCTAAAAGAGCTGGCTCGGATCTCTGGTTTACTGGTGTTAATTTTAAGTAAATCTTGGACTACCAGGGAAATTCAAAAAGACTAGAAGAGTGGCAATGCTGTGCCAATATTCAAAAAGGGCAAGCAGGATGACCAGGGTAACTATAGACTGGTGACCCTGACATCAACCCCAGGCAAAGTAATAGAAAAGCTGATAAGGGTTTAATCTGAAATATAATTAAAGGGTGAGACTATAATTGATGCCAGTCCACAGCTGCAAGAATAAGCTGCTACAAGCCAGTGTAACAAGAGCAAGGGGAGGGACTGACTGACTGGCTAAAGGCATCATTTATACCAATCTTGAAGAAAAATGATCCTACCAATCCAAATATGATATGAGAGATTTTGAACTGCACTATTCTGTTTCCTAAGCACAGCACTAAAAGTATTGCCCTGTCACCATTGACTGAAAATAGGGGAAGAACTAAAATAAGATTAACAAAATTGGCAGGAAATAGGGTGGCAACAACAGACCATAACATTAAGATGCATGAATTAACAATTAAAGGGAGATGTTGTTTATAGTTTCATAGTTGTGGTAATTTGCTGTGTGTGGAATGTTGGCGCATAGCCAAGAAAAATGAGTTAGCAGTTTGACCTTAGTATATAGTTGGTCTTTTGGCAGGCAGACAAACAAACGTGGCCTGAGATCAGATAAAGGTCACTCCAACATTGCAGGGAAAGGTCAGTCAGGTATGCTCAGTGCAAAACTAGGTAAGAGTCACCAGACCATAATACTAAACAGATCATAATACTCAGGCTAGTTGTGCAACTGCTTTGATTGACGGCCAGCATTTAGCAGTTATAATTGGTCTATAAGAACGGACTAATCAAAGAGGCTCTAAATGTGATTGGAGGATAGAGTATGCTAATATCAAAATTGGGAAACAAGCCAATTTGAAATGGTCTAGTGGCTGATAAACTGAAAAAAAGATAGGCAGTCAGCAGGCAAAAGTCAGTGAAGATAGGGAGCCAGGAAAAGAGTAAGCATGCTAGCTATAGTGTAAAACAAGGATAGAAATAGGATTAATGAATATGTGTCTGTATGTTTATGTGACTAAAGATGTGTTTGTATTATGAATGTTAAACTTTATACATATAAAACAATGTCAGATTTAAGATTGCTGGCAGCAACTGATCACCGCATGCAGAACGCAGCTGCTTAGTATTGCTCTCACTATATGTTTATCATTTGGGTAATTTTAACTTGTACCCAAAAATTGTGTTAAGGGATTTATGTTTTGATTTATGTTTAGATTAATTGTTGACACGGGATCCCTGGGGTGCAGCCCGGGACCGTGGGACTGCTGTGCCCCCTTTACTCTCCAGCCTACGCTGTCTCTCATAATGCTTTGATAGTGACGAGCACCAAACCCCTCCAGGCACTGTTATCACTTAGCACAACAGCATGTGGAGCCCCACAACCAGCTAGATTGCATGAATGGCCCCAGATCAACTCATAAATCACCCAGAGAAAGGCACCAACCAAATCCCTCCAGCTCCCAGCCTTGTATCTCAGGAATATACCATCTTGCACTGCTCAATACCTTTTCTTAAGCAATGCAAATTATTAATTGGTACATCACTTCATCAATGGAAAGTGGATATACACCAGCCTTTGTAAACATGAGCAGATTTACCAAACACTTCAGGCATACTCACTGGTAAAGATAACAGTAAAACAAGTTTATTCACTACACAAGATAGATTTTAAGTGATAATAAGTGATAGGCAAAAAGTCAGAGTGGTTACCAAAAGAAAAGAAAAGAAAATATAAGCATGCGGTCTAAATTCTCAACCCTATTAGACCGGGCAACATCTAGATTAAGCAGTTTTTCTTCATCCCACTGGATATTGCAGATCATAGTACAGAGGTTTCATCCTTGAAACCTGGGCCAGTCCCCTCTGTTGGAGTCTTCACTCTTAAATGAACAGCAGTCTTTTAAAGCTTTTTTTTTAGCAAATTGGCTCACAGTTGCGCAATCACGCTCTCCGGCAGGAAATTAAAAACCAAAACCAAAAAAAAAAAAAAAAAGAGAGCCACACCCCTGGAAAAGCCCCCAAACAAGAAACATGCTACTTAAAGAAATAAATAGGCAATTACATACACAAAGAAGCCAATATACGCTTACTGGGAGCGGACTTGGCAACATCCTTGTTGCTTGCAGCATAGGTGGGGGAAGGAGAAAGGC